ATTCTTTATGATTGACATTCTCATAGACATGAATAAAAGTATTTTGCTTAACAAAAACATTTGATCTTTTTAAACGGAACAGCAATATACTTCAGTCTGACCATTATACAATCAAAATAATTTTAATATTTCTCAGAGTCTAGTTTCATTACAGATTGCATTGGTTTCCACTATTTTATCATTTTTCCTCATAATGTAAATCATTTATCAATTTTCTTTTCACTTCTATATTTCTGTTATTTTTATTTCATTTATTAATGCTCAGCATAAATTTTTGCTTTTAGTCTATCATCTGCTTCAGAAAAATTTTATCTAAAGGATATATTAACAAAATATAATTTCAGATCTGTTACATACTGCTGTCATTAATCTTCTGATAACAAATCTCTTCTAATTAAATAATTTTATTGATCATTATTTTGATTATTAAACATGTTCTAACATTAGAAACAAACATTGTCACTTATATGAGGGAATCATAAACATTTGTTTGGCTTGAGTAAAAACTAAGGTATTTTATTTTTGACATTAATTTTATTGAATGTATTTGCCATTTTGTTTCGCTGTGATATTTTCTCTTTTGGATAACTTCATAATTTAGCTTAACCCCATACCTCAATTATTCTCTTGTAGTTAACATTTTTATAAATTTTTCATTGCTTGTTGCAATTTTTAAAAAAATGGAATATTTTCATTAACAAATCACACACACACACACACACACACACACACACACACACACACACACACAAAAGGATGATCCTATAAGTTCCTCCCCACCCCCAACACACAAGCACATCCAAGCAACTAGCTAACCTGGAGAAAATGATTTTCAATACTTGATTTGGATATTTTGACTATGTTGGCTTTTTCTTGTATTGTCAAGCATTAATTTCAAGTAATGTCTTCATTTAATTTTTATCGACCTCAATTAATCAACCTGACTATAGATCATTGTTCAATAAATCTTCAATGCAAAACTTCACAAGCTGCCTTTAATGCATTGTATTTAAAGTACCTTTTCCATAAAATACACAAATCATGGTTTGTTTTTTTGTTTTTTTGGCATCTCATGTTTACTTTTCTTAAAATGAAAAATATATTGCTTATTTTTTTCAAACAACAAAAATATGCCTGTTTTGACAAATTCATTTATGATAACTGTCACAATACAATCAAAAACAATCTTTGTGAGTAAAATTAATGAAAACTAATCATCCTTAATAACAAAAATAAAGTGAACATATTTTCCAACCTAATACAACTTAAAGTATATTAACCAGCCAACTGTTTGCTTAATCTCTCCAGTTGTAACAAACATTTGGGTATTTGTTAATTTTGACCACTTCACAGGAATCCTCATAGATTTATTGATAATAGATAAGCATTGAATACACCATAAAATTTTAAATAAGAATTCTATGAATGAAAAATGAATGTATTCAACCATGATCATTTTTTTGGTTAGCAAACTATCAAAAAATTGCTTGCTAGTCATAAATGTCTAGAGCATTTTAAAACCTACCAGTACACTTATCTCTACTTGGATATGTCTTTTTTACTGCTCAGAGAATATCATTAAAAAGGCCACGACTTATTTTTCTGACTTCTATTAACAAATGCTTCAATATCACAGGCACCATTCTCTAACCAAATGGAGTGTTTCTAAACTGGCTCCTTACTTTTTTGTTTTTATTCTATTCACTCTCTCTCTGATATTAAATGATAACATTTAGACTTTTAAATAAAAAAGAAAAAGAAAAAATCCTCATTATTTTAAATTTTAAAGCACATACACAGGGAACAACTTTGAACTGGAATTGTATCTGCTTAAGTTTCATTTGATAAGAATTAACCACTCAGAGGTGTCTGACAAGATATTTTGCCAAAATGATGTCTGCCAAAAAATTTCAATCTTGAGTGATTTACCCTTACTTGGTTTGTAAAATCATTTTTGTTTCTTAATTTATCAGTATATTTTACTAAAACCTTTTCACCTCATTTGGCCATTACAGAAAACCGTCTTAATAAAGAATAGTGCTTAATTATAACACTGGACTTACCAACTTCAGAAATTCAATATTGTCTTAAGTTACTTGATTAGCTTCTGTTTTGATGCTTTCATTATCAGCAAGTTTTGCTGTCTACAGATATTTGACAAATGATAAAGATTTACATGTGTTGGGAAATTAAACAAAGCATAATGACAACTTATTTCTCAAATGCTTAAACTGTACTTGAGAAAGATATTTTAACAATATGTTAGTTGTGATAAGAGTGCTGTAGGCTTTCTCTGTATGATTGACAGGTTATGCAAAAGTTTCTCTCATTTATATACAAGTGACTTTTAAGCAGCCAGGAAACAACCAATCTCTAAAGGAATATCAAATTGTAAAATGTATGAATAAGCCATCTTTCTTATTTGGTTGCACTTGAATATGCCCTATAGCCAGGCTACCTTGTTTTATCTGCATGATAATTGTACAAATCCTACAGATTCTGCAAATTAAGCATCAGCTCAGATTATCAGTGGCACTTCCTTTCAGACATGGGTGCAGATTATCAATTCTTCACTTTGAAATTAATCTTTCAGCATTTTAACCACTTTATGATTTAGGTACAGGTTCTTTCTGCCACAGATTTGTTAGGATTGATTAATTGATTGTTTTTCATCAACCCTTTGTAGCTTATTTAAAGCTGAAAAATTTGAGATTGTAAGAATAATTCTTATTCTTTTTTTTTTTTTTTAATTTTTTGAGAATAACAATGATTTTTCCAAATAAAAATCCTACTGTTTAACCCATAGCCGAGGTGAATAAATGGATTCATAACATTCTCAAGGGTATTTGCACATAAATGAATGTAATAAAGCTGACTGAAATTCTAACCCGACTCCAATTTCTCCTGAGCTGCTATCCATTACACCTCCCACACAGCCACATTTGTTAGGAATGCAAGAAAAATTCTTTGAATTGGATCAAGTTATTTTTTTAAGTTGAAGCTTATAATTTGTATTACAAATGGAGGTAATATTTTCTTCAACTGGTTTCTCAGTCTCCCTTTAGAAAAGCTAAAACCTCTGTTAAAATTATATTATGGTCAATATAATTTTAACATAAAAGTTTTACTAAACAGATTTTTTATGCTCCTACCTTGTGCATGCATATCACATATAGAAGTTTACTATTTAAAATATAAAAATCTAAATTATTTTAATTTTTCAATTTTTGGTTTCCAAAAATTACAAAATAATTGAATCTATTTAGTTCCTTACATTTTTGTTAAAAAAAGAAAAAAAAATAGTCTCTTATATGCAAAGTCAGTTTGTTATTACTATAGTTGCTTTTATACTCTTTTGTAAAAATCTGCATTTAAATGTTGCTTTTACAACAAACCAATTTATTATGCATTCTATTACTACTTAGAAACAGGTACCAATTTGTCAGCAGAAAGACACACACACACACACACACACACACACACACACACACACACACATATATATATATATATATATATATATATATATATATATATAATTGTGTATTTGGAGAGTAATCCCTCTTTTATACAAGTTTCACTAAAAATGACTGACAAGGTACTGCAGTTAATTTTTTTATTTAATTTTTCTTGTGTTCTTATAATTTTCTTCTTTTCTGGACATAAATTATGTAGAAATCATCCAAATGTTTTATATGTCATTATAAAGAAATATACAACTCCAGTCAACAAAAACAAAAAAATTAAATTCTCGGCTATAAAAAATTTAAAACTGCTAATTTCATTGGCAAAAATAATAATTCACCTGCAAAATCCAAATTACAGAGAACCAATACTATTCATGAATTCACATATCCTTTAAGCAATTGTGTTCCTGATCAAACCAAATTTGTAAATAATTATATTTTATATACTACAAGAAGAAGACTCATGTTACATCTCTCTGACCATTGCTCACTTATGGTCTCATTTAAATAAATGTGGAGGCCTACCAAACTTTATCTGCAACATATTTGTTAATAATATAGATATAATAGCCACATCCACATGAAAAAAAAGGCTAAAACTAATGGAAGCATTATTAATAAAAAAAAGAAAAAGCCAACACTCAATAATATTAATTATATTGTGTTATGTATGTATCTAGAGTTATAGGAATGTTCAGAAAATAAGACATTCCTATAACTCTAGATACATACATAACACAATCCATACATTCAGTTAAAAGTAAAAATAAAATCATTGATAATAGCTAAAAGTATAACTGAAAGCACTTAGACAAACAAAATATTTGGACACTTTCTACATAGTTTATGTCCAGAAAAGAAAATTATAAGAGCACAAGAAAAATTAAATAGAAACTTAACTACAGTACCTTGTTAGTATTTTTAATGAAACTTGTATAAATATAGATATGACCCCAAAGCCAATGTTTAATTTTGATGAATCTTTCCTCCAAACATTCCCTGTTAAAATTGAGCTGTTCATCTTCCATCTGATACAGCTTATTCTTTAAAAATATTCCTGTAAACTTTATATTGTTTACATATATTTCCTGGTTAACTTTTGTCTATAACTTTGCCTTTTCTCCGCTTTTATAGTGACTTATGTTTATATCCAAGTTCACTATTAGGAAAAAAAAAATCATAACATTATAAATCTTTCTATAAATTACATCTTTAAATTATCTGAAATTGTGATTTTTGTAACTGGTATACCCACCAAATTCCTTTATGTATGACTGATTTCCATTGACTTTGATAAAGTTTAAAAAAAAAACGTTATAAAATTTTGTTTCATGTCCTCCCATTTCATTGTTCATATCATAATTATTCAAAGAAACCTAGTTTTATAGTTTTCACGAGATGAAAAAAAAAATGTAACCCAAATTTTTTCACAGCTGTTCTCAGCCTATTTGAAGAAGTAATATTAGAGATTACACCCAGAATGTTTGTAATTGTCAACATGTCAACAATTTTTCATTTACAACATTTTTCTAGTAAATATTGATCCTGAGAAGGTCAAGAAGGAAATGTACCAAGCATTAAAGGAGCGACAGGAGGCCCTTAAAGAAGCCCTAAGAAAAAAAAATGAAGAATTCAAACAACTTTGCATCCAAGAAGGGGTAAGTATCACTTTTTAACAGTATTTTCTCTAAGATCACACTCAGGAATTTCTAAGTGTGTCTAAATTGTCCAAAATAATTCTTAAATATTTCAGGATATCATAGTATTTCACCTAATTATTTTTCTCCATAAAACATACAATTCATTATTATCTGTTAATGTAGTTTTCATATATGAGGTTTTGGTCATTGAAATGATTTTGGGAAGTGGGCTAAACTTTTAAGCACCCCTTAGTTTCAATTTAATTAAAATGTTCATTTTCATATAACAAACGTTGATATTTTTATTTCTTATATCTATAGAAATTTTGTACAATTCTCCTCTTTGCATAACCTAATCCTCAAAGATGCACACATAGATGAGCTTAGTAAACCTGATTTTTGCCAAGCTCATGTGGCCTTAAGAAGCCATACTTGGTTTAATTCATTACATAGCCTGCAAATTTAAAATGCATTTTGAATAAATGAAAATACAGCCACATCTGTATGTATGTGTGTATGATGATTGATATGAAATATCCAAAGATGGAATTTGTGAAAACCAGTTGGATGTTTTAATTTTTTTTTATTTTCTTGTTAATATTTCTTTCTCTTACAAGCATTTTCAAAACAAATAAAAAAAAATTAATGAAAGAAGTTATTGTGGCAACCCTGCTACTTATAAACACTGAGGTTAACTTGAAAACAGTTAATATTTAAAAATATCTGTCAACAAATCAATGACATTTGTACTTAGGAAATGTTAAAATAAAATGTAAATATGATGATTTGATATAGATAAATAAATAAATATTTACATGATTAGGAGAAATACAATCAAAATACTTTTAAACTCCACCATCTTAATTATTTTATATTTAATGAGAAACAAAAAGTTCATCACATAAAAATAAGAGAATGAACAATTTACATAAATAAACTTAATAAAACTACACAGTATACTAACCACCAAATTGAACTTAATATAAAATTTGTTACAACTATTTTTAAAACAATAAGAGACTTGATTAATACAGAACAAAATAAAAACGACCTAAAATCCGAAGTGGGAATTTACATTATAGACAGTAATAGATATTGCAAAAAAATACATTGGTGAAACTTAAGGAATTTAAAGAAAAGATTATATGAACACAAAAGAAATCTTTCACAAAACAGCACATTCAATGCATGTTGTTCATTGTAATGAATCTGAATATAATTTCTACTTAAAAATGCTGTTTTCATTAAAGGAGAAAGTAATTTACTAAAGCAAATATTTATAGGAAGTTCAAATTTCTGAGTTTTTCATCATAAACATTTCACCTAAATAAATTTTCTGTTGTTGCAATATAGAATATTTAAAAACAACAGTGATAAAAAAATAGAAGCATTGAGAAACTAAATGAAATCAGCTGAGGATTTGATAGAAAATTTTTTAATTTAGCACCCCTACATCTTCAGTACATCCTCATAGACAATATTTTTGTTTATATTTTCCTACCTTCCCCCCTATATATATATATATATATATATATATAATTTCAATAAGAAAATCATTTTAATCTGAAGTCCTTTTAAAAAATGAAACACAATACATAATTTTCTTTCTATGTTGTCATTCTATTACCTAGCATTTTGATATATAGAAATTTATTTAATTTTATCCCAAGATAAATAAAAGAAAATTATTCTAAGAAAAATAAAGCCCATGTAACCAAAAAAAAAAAAAATAACAGTCAAAAATATAATTTGTGACTTTTAATATTTAGATGTTAAGAAAAGTAGAGAATTTAATTAAAATTTTTATTAAGATACTTAACCAGAATTTATTTTAATATTCTTTAAGTATTACCTTAACTAGAACAGGTGATATTACCTTAACTAGAACAGGTGATATTACCTTAACTAGAACAGGTGATATTACCTTAACTAGAACAGGTGATATTACCTTAACTAGAACAGGTGATATTACCTTAACTAGAACAGGTGATATTACCTTATTACCTTAACTAGAACAGGTGATATTACCTTTAACTAGAACAGGTGATATTACCTTAACTAGAACAGGTGATATTACCTTAACTAGAACAGGTGATATTACCTTAGAACAGGTGATATTACCTTAACTAGAACAGGTGATATTACCTTAACTAGAACAGGTGATATTACCTTAACTAGAACAGGTGATATTACCTTAACTAGAACAGGTGATATAACAAAAATCTACTTTTTGATAAAATGATTTGAATTATAATAACTTATCCAATAATTCTTCCAGATACGTAATGATGAATAAATTTAACTATTTTGACATTTTTAAAATTGAAAAGATGGTTTGTATATGGGAGAATAAAGAATTTAATGTATCCCTGATTTTTATGGCTATTTTGTGTTCATTGAACACATTTTTTTAAATGTCAATGTTTCACCAATATAAATTTTATCCTATTTACTACATAGGATTTTATATATATATATATATATATATATATATATATATACACACACACACACACACACCAACATTTGAATTATATATATATATATATATATATATATATTCTTATTTTTATACTTATTAATTATGTTTTTTATGGTAGATTTGATTGGGGCAGTTTTAAGACCCTAAAGTATCACAAAGACTATTTTAAGAGAAAGCTTTCCTTCAGACAGATCAAAAAGCAATCTAGGAAGGATTAACAAGTGTATACTGTACCCCATATGCCATATCCCCCTCCTAAAGTATTGACCATAAACTAATGGAAGAGCACTAAAGGAGCAATAGTCTGGTTCAATGGTATCTCAGAGAAAAAAATGCACTTTTTCAAGTTTGACATTAAAGTTTTTTTACTCTTCCATAAAAGTGGAAATTTTTAACAAAATTTTGAATAGGACAAGAGAATATACAACATATCCTACAAGCAGACCACAATTATAAAGCACAACCCCAAGTTAATATTGTATCACATTGAGAAAGTTTGGGTAAAGAAAGCAATTTCTAAACTCTTTGATATTACTCTAGAAGTCTAGATGTTACTGAGGTATGTAAGCATTTACTTACCAGCTGGACTAAGCAACATTGTATATCAAAAGGATGCAGGTCTTTAAAGAGAAAATGAAATTCTACTTAGGGTCAAAAAAGGAGATCTGTTGATGCTGCAAGGAAAAGGATGATAAATTAAAGAATCTGGCTTCTTGCTTAAAGTAGTAACTGGTATAAAGGTAGTAAACTACCTGGATGTCACCTTCAATTTTCTGAATGGTTCATTATCACCATGCAGAATGCAGAGATGCATCCCATGTTATATCAATACAGCTTCCAATCATCCTCCAACTGGTCAAACAGTGCTCAAATCAATATATAAACTATTATCAGTATACTCTAGCAGTTGTCATTCAAAAAGTAATGGATACTATTTCAAATGATCCTTTATCAAAGAGAGCATAAATGGAAATAGAAGTATCAAAAACATATAATCTGGTTCAATCCACCATTTACTAATTCCATGAAAACCAGAGTAGGAAGATTAACTTAGTTGAAAGACTCTTCTCAAAAGAGCACATACTAAATAAGATAAGGAGTTCAGTCAAATTGAGTTATAGTTGTACTGAAAACATGATGCAGTTCATAAAGAAATGAAATTACAAAATATTGTGCAGGATCAGCCCCACCCTTGCAACTATAGGCACAAACATAATTGTCACATTGGGGGTGAGTGCCTATAGAAAAAGGTTATATACCAAGTTACAGTAAAGGCAGACAGTTGGTCTGCCTTTACTCTAACTTGGTATATAACATTCTATAGGCACTCACCCCCCCTCAATGTAACATGATTTATGTATGAGCAACCAAACATCTTTGGAAAGAAAGGTTTTTTAACCTCCTTCAATAATAGACAGTAGGAAAACATTGTCTAAATATGTATGGAAACACAAAAATGAGTTAGATAAATCCCCTGTTGTTGAGTAGAAGATTTTAAAGACAGTGCATGCTCGCAAAGCAATGTCCAAATCATGTGGTTTATGGTTGCGAAAGAAATTTCAAATTGTTACATTCTCTGATCAGTAACACCTTTTCAATAAAAAAATCAGATCTCATTAATAAATGTAGACATGTGAACCAGTTTTTGTTAGCTCCTGACAGTAAAAACAAAAAAAATGTATATGGTAAATTCATTTTAATTTACTGAATATTCCTGCATGTGTTTGTGTTTCATAGGTGGTAACTACTTTAGTTTACTCCTCATGGGAGGTGGTGGGGATAATGGTAATCATCACTCACAGGTGCAAATATGGGTGGGAAAATAGAATGGATTTAATTGACAATCAGTTCTATGGAAGCACAGATGCATTATAACACATGCTTGATTTTACTATGAAAAATTTAGTTTTATATATGCTTGTCATTTTTTTTTTATATATATATGAGAGAGAGGGGAGGAGGGGGGAATAATACTGCCTGGTGACTATCAGTTTCATGTCTTATATGATCTTCAGACAATGACTCACCATGCAGTATTGATTACTGTGTCTACACTGTCTGTCTCTATTTATAATTGCTCTATCTCTAATACTGAGCATGCTTCCCCCATAAATATAGCAAATTTTAAGGTACATGCACACAGGTAAGGTACAGCCTTCTCTTGAATTAAACTCTATATGGTTGTACTATTTGAAAATTAAAGTAGAAAACCTTTAATTTTGTACCTTCCTACTTTTGAGATTAAAATCTAGTCCAAAACACTGGGATCACAAGTTTTTTTTTTCAGTATATATTTTCTAGTTTTCTAGTTATGGACCTACATAAATATAGTTAAATTTATATATAGTTGGCTCTTTGTATCTGCTGATTCAACTGTGGATTCATAATATTCAGGAAAAATTCAAATATTCATTAAAATTTACTAGAGCAAAACCTGAATTGGCCTTATATCAATGCACACAAATGAAGAAATGTCCTGACATGCCCTGCTGTATCTATAACCATTTTACAGATTCTGTTTTTTTTCTTGCGCTTATTTGTGAATTTTTGTTTGTTCACTATTTGTATTGTGTATATATTTTCTCTTTCCTTTTCCTTTATTAAATGAATACAAAATCCTATGATTAGTTGTTTTGGGAGATTTATTTTAGCAATGTTATTTGGTTTGGGCGGGGGGAATGCTTCACTGTAAGTCAAAATGTAATAAAAACAATAAGAAAAATAGCTGGAACATTGGAAAATATTTAATCTGAAAATTTGAAGAAAACAATATGACTTATTTTATATATAAATTTCTTTTTATTTACCCAACTCTTTTGGGTCACTTTGTTAATTTTTGATATTTTTCTTTTTTGGTTATAATTTAAAAAAATTTTTAACACATTTTTTTTCTAATCACTTGCTAAGCCAATATTTGGTGAAATGCTTTATTTATTTTTTCAACTAAAAGGAGCTTATTGGCCACCTCCCTAAGGATACTCCTCTGGCACCAGGTGAACAACCACCTATCATTCGACGGCGGGTCAAAACTGCTTTCAGCCTCTCCTCAAAACTTGTTCCAAAAGATGGAGAAGATGTAAGAAGAACAGTTTTGCTACTTTCTAACAGTTTTTAGTACTTGGGCAATATGTTTCTTAATTGTAGCACTGAGAATAACAAATACTTTTCTAGTATTCTAGTACTAATATTTTACCAATCTTTAAACAAATTGAATATCACTTTACTCTTCATTATCATATTATGACTTTAAAAAATAAATATTAAGCTGAAAATTAAATTTCTTAAATTTATTTCTGTCATTTCAACCAAAGTTTTCAATTTATATATTTGACAGTATTTACATTAGTCGGACTATTGTCCTCATCTTTGTCGCCATATTTGTCACAACGTTTCGGCCGTTGTACGCTCCGGCCTTCTTCAGGTGGTTGGAATTTCGAACTGAACCCTTTATTCATATATTTGAGTTTTACTTTCAAAATTACAAAACCCAGTTGTTAATTGCAATTTTTTTCTTTTTTCCACATTCTAATCAGTGAGTTATAATCAATTTCATTTCAAAGAATAATATTGGAACAAATTTTAGGAAGCAAAATAATTGTTATAGCTCTTGATGTTCTTGTGAAACCAATTTTATCTTAATTTTTATCATAAGAATGCTGTTTGTAATTTTTCAGATGGAAGACCAACTTGCTCGGCTTGATTTGGAGTATGAGTTACAAAGTAAAATTACCAGTGCTGCTTACAAATTGGCCCATGATCGATCGGTCAGTAAACAAGTTCGAAAGCAGAGGAAACAGGTTTATCACAAAGCCCAAACAAAGGTGAGAAGTCTTGCAAGATGATTGTCACTATTTATTTAAGTTTCAGATACAATTCAAATAGATTTATTATTGAGGTCTTTATAATAAATTTACCATTATGTGTTTGCTCATCACCTCATGGTCTCTTATGAACTCTTTGAGTCCTTTTCACTTTGTCTTCTGTTTAGAATACACTTTGCCACTTTTCTATTTTTCAATGAAGGAAAATCCCGATGAAAAAATAATTTCTATATATTTTTTAATAAAATCCACATATCTTCTTGCCTTTTGATTGTTACTTTATTTTGACTGACAGTGGATGAAAAATCATTCTTCATAGAATTTATTAGATACATCAGATTTAACCAAAAGGCATTAAAATAAAACCTCAAAGTAGTTCAGGAATCAAAGATAAGGGAGAGAAAAACACCAAATTTTATTTTTACAAATATTAAAATTTTAAAAATAACTTTTATACAAAATTGGATTTAAAAAAAATATAAAGGCCTGAAATTGAAATTGATTCTTTCTTTTCAGGTATTTGCAGAATAGGCAGCTCCAGTACTCCATTATCTTCATTTTTAATCTTTGTTTTTTATTAAAATTATTTTCTCCAATTTTCAAACTTGTATTGTGGAAATTCTGATTGATTCTTTTTGGTTTTTTTAATTTGAACTCATGAAATCTGCAGCACTGAACTTTGTGTTTTTCTACTTACTTTTGTGTGATTGTCTGAAGTAACCCACACTCCTGCTTGAGCCACCATAAACTGTGTCCCCACTCAAGAATAAAGGAGTGTTTTTGTAATGCAGATCAAAGCAGATCAATCACATCTAGAGTCCAGAGGAAATGACGCATACTGGAAAGGACAAAAAGGTCCTGAACTCTTTAGGGAGTATTGAAAATCACTCTTTGCATTGGTATGAGCTTGTCAAATTCTTTGCATAGAATAAATATGGACTGTTTTTTTCCTTATCAAACCTTTCCATCCATATAACAGAAACAATGAACATATACAAACAGGCAAAATTGTGAATTTTTAGAAATTGAATAGAATTTCCTAAAGTGATGATAGTTACTTTACTCGTTGTTGAAGTATATTTGGTTGGATTTAAATGCTTACATTTGATTTTGAATAGACAAAATAGCTATAGTGAAATGTATTCATTTAAAGATAAATGACAAATTGATACTGCCAGTAAATGAAAAATCTTCTTCTCTATATTTGCCAGAAAAAAGTTGATAAAAAAATCATCATTTTAATATGCTTTGAAATTCCTCTTAAACTACTATGACTACATTCCTATTTCTATTCTTTTCTCGTATCTGCATTTATGTAAAAAAGGACATTTGTAGCTGACTCTAATGACAACTGTTAAAGTAAATTAGAATCAATGTCTTAAATATTGTTTGAGTTATATGATGAAGCAATTTTATTACCTACAAATTGTTTTATTTGAAAGCATTCAATTGTTGAATGTTATGTTAAATATAAATAAAAATGAAATAAGCATCTCATTGTGGATCTCATATGGTTTAAAAGGTCACAAGATAAGGATTGACTGTATTTATAATATACTGTTAGTGTCAAGCTAGACAAAGACTTCCTTGTCCTTTTAATGTTTGTCAAAAGTAAAAATTAGGCTAATCATGGCAACTGTTTTCTCAGTTACAGAGATATTTTTATACTTCTTACTAACCTGAATATCTATCAGCTCAGACTGATATTATTAAAGGCTTGCACCAAAAATAGTAAAGGTCATAGGATTCTGTAATAGATGTTAAATGTAATTATATATTTTCTTTAGGAAGAAAAGGAACAAATTATACAAATGTAAATAATGGAAAACATTTTTATTCCATAATAAAATAAAACTTAAGTACTCTTCTCAAAAATAATTTACCTAATAATGTGAAATTATTTTAATTTTTTGGAATAATAAATATTATTTACAATGCTTAAAGTAAAAACCAGCCCATAGCGTTTTTAATTTTATTCTGGTACAAGGTCACCAAAATTCGGCATTCAGTAAGGATCAGTTCTCAATCAGAACTCTATCCACTGTGAAAATGATGATTTACTAAATGGATATGCATTCAAACAACATTATTAAATGTATATTTTCTTTTCCAAAATACTTAACCATGGAAGTTTGAATTAGGTTTCTGATAGGAAGTGGTTGACTTCATATGAAAATCACCATTTCCAGGCCTTCTTTAATAAAGAAGTTTTTCTGACTGCTATTTAGACTTTCTTTTTAGAAGAAACCAGAAGATGCATTGGAGAGAAATCATTTCTCTCTATACTTTTTTATATTTATTCATATCTAATTAATTTCTGATAACTTAGAGGTGTGGCATAGATAGCTTGTTAGCTTATGTCTGACAAATCCAACTTGTAATTAGTTGAAAGGTTTTTGTCTATAGTAAAAAAAAAAAAAAAAACTAAAGCATAATTTCTGGTTTGATTGGCTAAGTTAACAGTTCTTCCCTGCTTTTTGACCTCTTTTCCCTTCACACTTTGCTATATAAGTTTGTCTAGTCACATTGTAGTATTTGTTCAGTTTGATTCAATTTATTATCAAAGTCACTTACAGTCATATCTTGAGAATGATGGAAATAAACACTGAAATATTAACTACATGCATATTTTCTTTATTAATCAAATATTTATTACCTTCTCTGTCAAACCTGGCTTTTTAGTATCACTATCATCTTTTTCATCTCTATCTCATCTCTTATTGGCACTTTTCCATTTAATTCCTTTATTGGTATTCATTTTACTCTTCATTAATTCAAGCATTAATTTTTTTTTAGTTAAAAGACATGGAGAAAACTCTAAATGAAATGAAGAAAAAAGCTGGTCATTCCACTCTCAAACCTTGCCCTGTTTATGAAGGTAAATATGTCATAATTTCTTTTTCTCTGTTTAATTACCTTTTTTAAGTTGTTTTGTTCAGTGTTTTCTGTCCAATTAACATGACAAAATATTTTATTGAAAGTGGATTGTAGTTCTCTTTAAAACATGCTTCATTATTTTATTAATACTTACTTCAAAATTCTAATTTGTATCCAAGCATTTCTGCTTAGAATTATTTTGATTTAACTGTGAAATCTGTTCTCAAATGTCATTATTTCTTGCTTGGTTTCATATTCAGTAAAGCAAAACAAACACTGATGGAACAATAGGCTTCCTGAGGTGATCTAACTGTTCATTTTATAGTTTTCAGTGTTTAAATCAGATGAACAAATGATTTTACAAGAATTCTCCTGTATATTTTCTCAAGTTCATTGCCCCCAAATCTATTTATTTCAATTTATTTCATGTACATTTTACTAACAAACTTACTAAGGCTACAAAAATGTATTGTTTTCCAATCTTGTATATAATTATTAAAGAAATAAAATTCTTGTCTAAAAACTTAATTTTGGTAGAGAAATAATAGAAGATATATTTTTTTTAGTTTTCCCCCATAAGCATAAGAACTAGCTTTGTAATTATCAAAGCTCAAGTTGATTTGCCAAACATTTCACAATACCAGACATCTCACCATTACTAAAAAAGATTTCCTGCAGCTTAATCATTCATGTCTCATTGATTTTTTTATATATATATATATATATATATATATATATATATATATATATATATATATATATATATATATATATATATCTCCCTCTCTCTCTGAGTTGGGGGCAAGAGATACAACTTGCTTTAGGGGCTTGTGCTAAATACTTTTGCTCTCAAATAAAAAACAGCAGACTTTTCAATATTTCTTGCTGTTTGTATATAATTTTTCCGTTATTGGTCACTACTTTAAGCTTTCCCCTCAATCAGAACTCTACCCATTTTGACTACTCCCAACAGCTACCCTTGACTTTTACAGCCATTCAAGAACTTTTTTTTCCATAAAGAGATCCCTTTGCATTAATTGAGAGTCATTATACCAATGGATTTACTTCATTCATCAAACATTGATTTACAATGAGAATTTATTCAGCTTTCTCTTTTTTTTTTTATTTACTTTTTCTTCCAATTAAGAACTGTCTTCACTCTACAAAATGATGTAACCTCTGATATCTAAATTTACAATATTTATCTCACATAAGCAACATTTTTTCTTGCTCAATCCTAACAAGTAAATTGATTTAAGAAGCCACAGAAAAGATTCTCCAATGATTTTTTTTTTTTTGTAAGACATTTTCATTTCAGAATGATTGAAATGTCTTATTTTTTGTAAAATCATTTCTACTCATCTTGTTTTTTGATTTTTGTATTTTGTTTTCCAATTTAAATAAACCTACTGAAATAATTTAGGAAAGAAGTAACTTTTGGCAAGTAACTTGGTCAAGATTTTTAAATTTTTATTTAAATGGTTGAGTCAGTAATATATATCATTTTTTTTTTTTGTTGAAAAGTTCCTGTTGATATTGTTTTTGTTGTGTTCATTTTCACTACCCCCAGACCCAAGTGAAGACAGTCTTGGACCCACAGACAGTGGTCAGTACTATATCTACAATTGCTGGACTCCTCTTTGATTTTTCTTTCTTTCTCTCTCTAAGCCATTGTGTTATGGTTCAACTTCCAGTATGCTTAGCTTTGTCATTCCCTGTTTAGTTACCCCAAACTTTCTATGCCGTATGTACTCCTTTCTCTGTTTCTTCTTTTGTGCTTTCTTTCATGTTTTTGTAATTCTTTGGTTGCTCTCTCTACATAGCAACACCATTATCTTCCAAATGAAAGACCATCTCTGCTATAGTGATGCTAAAAACTAATTTCATTCTATAGCTATCTATATTTTGACTATTGTCTACAAACAAAAACTATCTGCCAGGTTTAAGTAACTCACAAATGTTGGATCTCACTAATTCCCCCAAAAATTGAATTAAAAAAAGTAACCAGTTGTCTCCCTTTTTATCCAATTATAGGTTATTACATTACTAGAAAATAAATGATATGCTAAAAATGAATATACACATTAATTCTTTCTAATAATACCAAACAGCATTCTATTTTACCAGTTTTATAGCAGCATCCCTTTTTATTTTTTATCAGAAAATCATTTTGAACTTTTTGATAATTTATAAAAATTTACATATTCCCTTTCTACTTAAACATTTATTTTGTACTAAAACAAAATATCAGATTTTAAAGAATTTATCTTCAGAGAAATTCTTAATTTCAAGCAAATCAAAATGTCCTTATCTTTATATCTATCAACAATGCAGATTTGTTTTTGACTTTTATTTAATAGTTAGTTTTTTTTTCTAAATAACAGGTAATAAAATTAGAAAACTGATTTAAAGTCTTTGTTACTCTCTTAGAAGTTTCAAGAATTTATAAAAAGACAAAGAGAATTGATGATAGGTTTGAACCTGACATCAATTCTCTTGATATTTATCTGCAACATTTTTTCATACATCTAAAGAAATGTGATGCTGCATGTCCATTTGCTTTTCTACACCCCACTCCCTACCCTCTTGCCATCTGGTTGTGTAATGTTGAATGTAATTGTTGTATCTCTCTTTCTTCTCTATCTTTGTTTTTATTGTTACTTGATGGAAATTATGTCAATATATTTATGTTCTTCTTTAAATGTCTTATTTTTTTAATGAAACACAAAACAGGTAAATAATGATGTAACACATTCCTGACTATTTTGATAATTGTTCATTTAAAACAGAAAACAAGAGGAATCTGTCAGTTATGGCGTAACAAAGCACTTGTACTGCTAAAAAGATTTAATTTCCTTTCTATACATATTCTTCTCTATTTCAATCTTAACCTAAATACAATTCAACTATTTAGCATTAGAGAAAGTAGAATCTTTACAGATGTTGTGTAAGCATTATTAAAATTTTATGAGTAGTTTACAAGTTGATTACCAATTAATTTAAAATAAAATGAATTTTTTCTGTATATTCATGATATATTCTTTCAGTAAAAAATCTAATTAAAAAAATATTTTTATGAATTGCTCAGAAATATTTAATTGGCATTTGGGTGACCCCCAACTCCCTAGAAAATATGCTAAGGAGAGGAAATAGGGAATATCAGTTATTGCTGGGTGTGTTTCCACTAAATCTGCACTATCCAGCCCAGAGTTTGAACTCCTAATTACTATGTCACCAAATTCACAAACCAACACTTTGATCCACAATAGTCTGTTACAAACATGAGTTTAGAATTTGGAGCAGATTTAAATTTAAATCTGCTGTTGACTGCATTCACCACAGTTTCTATTTTTTTATTGCTGCTGCTGTTGATGCCTTGCTGTCATTTCCCTTTCTTCCTTTATTAACAGTTCCCATATTGATTTCTATGCTAAGTTTAGTGAGGAGTCACTTATAGCCTAAGCATATGCACTGATTCCTTCAGATGTCAAACTTTCTAGTGTCTAGTATTTTTATTTCATTTTACATAAGTTGGTGACTCCCTTACATGATCATCCATGCCTGATTTCATTGTATTGCCCCTAATTATGGCTTTTCAATGTTCCTCTAGCTTTACTGTTAGTGGATAACTGATTTCACATTTGTATTCTTTGCCACAGCTGCAAGGGATGGACTACATACAGTTTTTGGTCATGTTTTCCTCTGAAAGATTTTCTTAAATTTCTTTCATCACTTCATATGTCTGATGTTTAAACAACTATCAGTCCAGTTTCCACAAAAATGTTTTAATATCTCAAATGAAATATTTCAGCTTTTATTATTACTATTATTAAATATGACAGGAAGTAATAGATCCTATTTTAGGTAGAGAGAGAAATGATTAAATTAAATTTAACCAATCATCAATAACATGCTTGCTATTCAATGATCCAATTAAATATTCTCTGTGGATTTCTTAATGAAAGGAATGTCTATGAAATCTGTTTGTTAATCTTTAATACTTTACTATTAAGAAAATGATACTGGAATTTAAATACTTAAAAATCGTAAGACTCTTAAGTGTGGAAGTTGTAGGGAGGAGTTGAAATTTCTTGATTATCTTTCTCTTAAGTGATCCTGTAACAGAAGTATCAGATTTTCTGTTAGCTAAGGGTGAAAAATTTTATAAGCAATACAATTTATCCTAACTTTTTGCCACTCTTATTATTTGTTTTAAAGGGTGTACTTTATCAACATTTGCTTCAGAAAACATTTCTTCAGGTTTTAACAATTAAAAAAAAAGTTTCAGAAATCTTCATTTTTAGATATAAAATGATTTTAACATACACTCTCTCCTGTGTCCTTTGAATGTACCTAATATCATAACATATATTTTTGATCTTTAATAAATTGAAAGCTTTCTCTGTTTTGTACACTTAGATTACTTTTTTTGCATCAATCAAGATGAGTTCAAAAAAAAAGAACTACTTTCTTTGAGCAATGCCTACAGCCTAAAGTTATTTCTTTTACAGAATCAGAGATTGTCTCACCAAGTCCCTCTCCAATTCCACGTCCAAAGAAAGATTATTCACAAACTGGTTTTACTAATAACGTAAGTGTTCACCAATTTTCTCAAAGCATCACCTGACACCAACTATATATTTCTTTCAATGGTATCAAAATTATTATTTTAAGATGGAATGAAACTTAAAAAATAGTCTCTTGTCCTAAAATGCTGTAGCCAACTTAACAAATATCTGCCAACCATCCATAGTTGGAAGATGATTGAATTTTTCATCTGCAAACAATAAACACTAGATTTAATAAAGAATTCCAGTTATTTTTACAGTCAATATCAAAAACTAAACAAAAAATTATAGTATTTTTTTTTTTAATTTCTAACCACCATGTAATTTTATTTTAAACTTTAACAAAAGCAGTCTTTTCTTCTTATGCAAGGACAGTGAAACAGGGATCAAACCAAATGCACACTTATTTTAAAGGGGCAAGAAATCCTTTTGGTAATGAATGTTGGACAATTTCTTCACAGATGAAAATACTATAGACAAATCCTTTAAGAAAGGAGATTAAGAACTACTATGAAACTTACTAGCAATCAGAAAGAGATACCAGAAATTTTTGGGACACAAAATGAGGAAAGAAAACTTGGAGAACTTAACATTCATATGGTATATCGAAGGCAAGTAGAGGGAAACAATAACCTACCTGACAAGTCTGAGTAATTGGATGTCAGAACAAAAGGGTCGGGGAGGAGCATGAGATACTTAGAGCAACATAAGTTGTGGAGAGTCATGATTGTCTGCATCCTGAAATGAGAAATTTTTTTTATCTGATGATCAATTTTGTCTTGTTTTGTCTTAAGCTTTACCAGTTATCTTAGGAAATTTTTACATCAAGCTTAAATCTGATTCATGTTTTTCAGTCAATATCAAAGAGAGACAAACATTTATACATATGCATTTGTTATAATTTATTTGTTCAAGAATGTTTTGAAAGGAATTATAGTTTTATTATGAATATTTTGATTGCAAGAAAATAGTTTCAAACTTGAGACTATACAGGTAAGCAATTAAATCTTTTTTGTAATGCCACTTCCTTTTATTATCTACAAACAAATTTCAATAAATATCAGATTGAATAAACACTGACTTGTTCAGATTTTTTTCATTGTTGACACAAGATCTTTGAAGTTTAGATTAAGCTGTTTCCATGTATATGTCTCAATCTTTTTTATACATTTGTTGTAAAGTTTCTAACATTTTAGAATCAAAATGAAATAGAAATCAGTTTTCACATTTAGGATAGAAGGACCAACATGACTAAATGCCTTTGATGATTGTAAGTTAATAATTTTTTTTTTTTTTATTATTATAAATCTTAAATTGCCTTCTATTTATTGGAATCAAACAAGTCATATTCGATGAGCAAAGACAGGTTTCAGAATTTGAAATCTGCCATGAATAAATCTTCCTTATTAATTTCTTTGAATATTAACTTTGACTTTCATTTTTATTTGGATATTGAATTAATTTAGCTTTGAAGTTCCAGTAAAAAAAAAAAGAAAAAAAAGAATCATTTAATTTGCAATTAGTAATAATTTGAATATTGGCTACTTCTCAACACCTAATTTCTCTGAAATATTTTTTGAATTTGACTACTCTTTTGATGAAGTCAGTTCCCACTGAGACCTGTATTTTTTTTATTGTCAACTTTGCCTTAAGATTAAAGCTTATGAAAAATTGTTGGAAAGAAAAGCTTTTACAATTATCTGAAAACATTTCCTTGCCAGACTTGATTTTATCTCCCTAAGCCATAAATTTCTTTAAGTTTCTTTAAAAAAAAAAAAAAAAACTCAGGATTTTTATAAGCTTCTGTTACAATCATAAGGATAGTTGTTTTAGTTTTGTGAATTTCAAAATAAACTCAGTTCTTTATAAGCCTGATCAGTTTTTTTTTGTTGTTTTTTTTTTTTCATACAACAATCTGACAAAATGTCACCTAGCAAATAGATTTTATGGGCATATTTTACTACATATCAACAAAACTAGTGAGTCTATTTTGATTTCGATACTAGGAAAAGAAATGGTTTCTTATTTTTAGCTAAGCAAAACTTTTTTTTGTAGATTTCAGATTTCTTTTCTTTTTTTTTTTCTTTTTTTTTTTTTTTAACAGATGGAAGTTATTCAAGATGATCCAACATATGATCCTTTAGTGACTGACCGGGAAGAAAGAATCTCACCCTTACCGCCAGGCTCACCTTCACACCTTAGTCCCTCACACAGCAGGTAAGGCATATATACATATTACATAATGAAGCAGCAGTCCTGCTATTAGTTCTAAAAGCCTCCTTTTTCATTTAAATTAAAAAAAAAAGCTGATATATTTTTTAAGATTATTCAGATTTCATTCATTTGAATTCTATAAATTAGTGTGCATGAGCCACTTTTCTATATTTCTAAATGTGAAATTCAGTTTTAAAAGTAAATGACATTTTCATATATTGATAATAACAGCAACATCAGTATATGCCCAAATTCCATAATGAATTTTTTTTTTCATCATTCTGCCTGTAATTACATATATAAAATATCTGTGCATACCAATGTAATTTGATGGTTTTCTTATTATTTCTCTCAAAGAAAAATAAATTACCAAATATACAACACCACCAAAAATAATTTTTTCAAATTGATAGAAATCCAAATAAGTAAAAACAATTTTGGAAATAAATCCCTAAAAATTCATTTAGTTTTCTATGAAACTTTTCCAACAATTGTTTTCTGGTATTACAGTTGTTGCTGTGATAATGATTGCTTTTTTTGCTTCTGAAGTGTCAGCAGCAAGCATGCACAAGAATACTTCCTCTTCTTTCAAAAAACAAGCAACAATAGCAGTAATCCATTATTTCATTCTTTATGAGGCCCTTCACTTGTCAGATATTTTTTTTCACAGACAACAAACATTACATGCTTAATTATTTCCAGCCTGCATTTCTTATCTAATCTTCACAGTTGTAATATATTTTCAGCAAAGATTATAAAATATGGCATTATGCTAAAAAGAATTTTTCTGAAGGTGGATCTTTTAATCTCAAAGATTTTACCAAGAGGTCATTTTTTTATGACATTTAAAAAAAAAAAAAAATTCTCACCACAAATTTCTTTCCTGTCACTGACAATTTCAGTTTTTGATTTACCATGTAAAATCCTGTTTGATGGAAAATTATTTTCTTTGGTAGAGTTGACATTTTTTTTATTTCATTTAATCCAATTTAATTCTTTACATCATCAAATGTTTATTCTCCAAACTGAAATTTGTTTTGAAAATTAACTTGGCAGTACATGTCTGACAAAGACAGACTTTGCTCAGTTTTTCTTAAGTTTTATCATCTGGAAACTATTTGAGCTTTTGCAAATAATTTTGTCTCTTCATGCATAAAATAAATCTGTTTTCTCTCTCTCTCTCTCTCTCTCTCTCTGTGTACCTGAAGTTTTTTTCTTTTTCTTTCCAATGTTCTTTTATTTCCTTTATCCTGATAGCTTTCTATTTCTTTGGCTCCACTTTGTCTTCAATAAAAGGTTTCTTTGAGACACTTTTCCTATTGATTTTTTTAATCTAAGTTTAGATCTTTCACTTTCTATGATTTTTTTTTCTTTTCAAACTATTATTACAATATTCTTCTTTTGACAAATTCTTAGACAGGAATATTTTAAATCATTCTTACTTGCTGTTGCTGCTGTTATTTACCATAAGTGAAGACTTCAGTTTACTAAACTAGTCGTTTTCACCTGGATTATCTCCCCTTATTCATTTATATGCAGTGTTTCCACATATAAAATGTGTGCGCTATTCAGATTGACAAGTGTGTCATTGTTTTTAATCAGCTTGACCAAGGCTATTTTTGAGCCACTTTGCTTTTCCAGCATGTCCAAGCACTCTGTCTTCTTTTTGCAGTTTGGAATGGTTTTCAGCAGCACGGCTGCTGCCTGTGAGCATTCATTGCATTATGGATCGTGACTTACTACCTCCTCCTTCTCATCTGTGCACACATACAGCAACCACCACCATCAATACCTCTGGTTCTGTTACCAATATTTTTGTCCTTTCTTTATCCTAACAAAAAGTGGCCATTAAACAAAAAGAAAAACATAATTTCTTGGACACACTTTTTATATAAACATATCTTTGGTACTCATGTCCTCCCAACCTTTGTCAAAAGATGAAACTATCATATTTCAAATCTGTTGATTATTCCCTTTCCCCAAAGAACATTTATAGTTTTTAATTTTTTTTAATTCTTTTCTCTATATTCATTTTATTATCAGTTTATTCATAACTTCTACCTGCTTTACAGGTTGTTAAATGTAAACATTGACTTTTTTAATGAAAGTTTTAGGTAAAATTCTTTCTTATTTATTTTTGTTTTACGTTTTCCTCTTTCTTCCTTATTTTCTGAAATTATTTTCAAAGAAGTTGTCATCAGGCTATATTAAGTTACTGAAGCAATGTTAACAAATTGAAGAGTGAATTTTTACAGTAAAATTTTAGTTAAACCTTCTCTTTGAATCATTTAATAGTTTCACCAAGTTTAATGTTTAATATTGTCATCAAATTAGTAGATAAATCAAATTCTTTGACATTGAAACCTTAAAGTTTTCTTTCCAATTTATTTTCACCATAAAAAATAAGAATTGCTGTGTCAATTTCTTTTTATCTGATAGAAACCATTGAAACTAAAAATGTATTTCAATGCAATATTTAAAAATACATTTTCTTATGATAACATAAAGTTATAATTTATCTTTTAAAACTGTTTTTCCATAATTTTCTTTATTTCTGCATCCATTTTTATCTTGTGTTTATTCATCTCATCCCTCATTTGTTCAACATAGCTATCATTGATTCACTCATTCAATAAATTAATATTTTTCTTGTTCCTTTTCTGTACAATTTACTATTTACTCTTCTAATAGAAGATCAAAGTTTCTTTCTTTGCTTCAAATGAAACTCAATTGATATCTAGAAATTATTATAAATTTATTAATGAAATCCACAGTTTGTGTGAAGTGTAAGTAGGCAAATGTTGTAAAAATGTTTTGTTGCTTTTATGTCCTACAATCCTCTAGAGTATCTGTCCACCTGCAGCATGTTATATTCATTCAGAATATTTTTCCAATTTGTCTAGTAATGACTTCAGATTTCAGTTTTTTTTTATTTCTTTAGGAACCCTTTCCTTTATCTGCCATTAAAAACTTTCATTCTTACTCAACTAAACTCTCTCAATTAGAAGATTTAGAATTGTAAAAATATAATTCATGAAAATACTCATCAGTGTCAGAAGAAACTTGAAATTTCTTATAAATGAAAGAAATTAACAAGAATCCATCAGAATGCTTTTAGAAAAAAAATTATATGATTTTTATGACAAAGTAATAGGAAAATAAATACAAAAAAAAATGTTCCAACTGAATTATTCTATAAAAACCAAGATCTATAATCTAAGTTGATTCATTTTTTTTTTTATTTACATGGCTGAAAGGAAAATGTACTGCCACTTTTTTAGCCTGGGCTTTAATGTTGAAATTGAAATAAAAGAGCCTGAGTTTAGGAAAGAATGTCTGTCTGACTTTCAGTTTTAAAATCTTCACTCAATTATCATTGCTTATGATGATCAGTTTGAAACTGATCCATGTCTCTTTCTAAATGATATAATCTGAAATAGCAATATGACTTGAGCTTTTATTGCCATAAATTTGCCTTGCATTCAAAGTTGTTTATACTTGATTCTGTAATTTTTTTAACTGCCACCCATGATATATTTTAATAAATATGGAACATTTAATCGATTTTCTTGTTAGATTATTGATTTTAATTTTAAAAACTCCTGCCATAAACATTATTCATTCTGCTTTTGTATGATAAGTTTTTTTTCTTTTTTCTCTGAGAATAAATTTAGTAGTGGGTAGGCATTGTACCTGAAAGACAGGACTACCCACCTCCTACTGTTACATTTCTCTATGACTTAATTTATATATCTACTTGAACATACATCAATCCTCTAATTGATGTAAGTTTTCTTTCATTTTCTTTTGCTTTGTATTCAAAGCCTTTTGATTCCACATTTTTCATTAGTTTGGATCAAATCTGTACCTGTCATTTCTGTTTTAGAGAAATGATGTTAGCATTATTACAGTACTTCATTTAGAAACTTTCACTTTAGTTAAAATAGCATATAGCTTTCATGTCATCTCTATTGTTTATAATACCAGATCTGTTCAGCAAAAGAACAATGAATTGACTGGTGTCAGTCATTTTAAAAAATCAGTGTTGTTATCTAAGTAAATATTAATGTTGAATTGGAAATGTAATAGTTGAAATTGATGACAATAAAGATGTAATTCAATATTTGTTGAAGACAGTTCAATCTCGATAGAAGAAACCTTTTTCTTTTTTCTCATTCCATGTTCATAAAGTAAAAGCTCTAAAGCATCTACTAATTTGCCCTTTCCTTGAACATTTAATACATGTTCTCATGAGGTAATTGTGCTACCCAAAAGGCTTAGATAGAGTTTGACTTTCCTTTTCTCAACATTTTAGGAACTGATTATGGAAGAATTATTCAAAGTTTAAAAAAACATTTCCAAAAAAATACATCATTTTGTTTTTACTCCAAAATGATTGAGTAATTTTACTTTTTGAACAATTAATATGGCCAAAAAATGTAGCTGAAGTAAATCTATTGCATTGCATCTTTCAAATTTTCATTTAATATGATCGAATTGAGTGAGTTAGATTTGGAAACCAGTAAACATTTTGATTTTTATCCATTTTTGACTTTTATCCATTTTTGATTTTTTCTTTACTTGATCCATACTTATAATTTTCATTCCCCACTAAATTTGCCATTAGAAATTTAACATTTTTAACATACATCTTATTTCTGAAAAATTTTGTAAGTGTCTCTTAATGTTGTTGAATTTGTGTGGATTTGCTTGTTTTTAAGATCTGAAGCAAAGAAGTCAACTTCGAATTATTTTTTTAAGTAGCTACGTGAGAATGATTTGAATAACCTGTCTATGTGTGCCAAATGTTACTTATAAGTATGATTTTGTCATCAGAATTTACATTTTCATTTTAAATGTTTAACATTAATGTTAGAATACAACCAAAGAAATTAACAACAAACTTTGGAAATTGTAAAATATCTTTTTCCCATTGATTCTCAGTTATAAAAAAAATAATTTGTGTAAATATTTAAATTCATTTTTAGTTTCAGAAAAAACAAATATACAGAATTAACTGAACAGAGATCTACTCATTGAATTTGTACATTACAGTTATTGAAATGTTGGTGCTTTTTTTTCTTCCTTGACATTGTCCTGAATAAAGGAAAGATAGTGGCTGATTTGGTAAATACAAACACCAGTTAATAAGAAAGGAAAACATAACAGAATGGTAATTAATTTCATATCATCAAGGTTGATATGCTCGTTGGTAAATTGATCACAGTGGTATAAGATCTCACAAGAAGATAAACTTGATGAATAAAGTTTGGAATTGACTGCACACGTTGTTATTGCTAGTGAAACAGAAGAGATTTGTCCTCCTGTTGGGTTGATTTTCAGAATTCTCTATAGATTTCCTGAACACCCTTTTTGGCAATAGGGTTTTTAACTTGCCCTAATTCAATTGAGATGTGACGATGCCATGCTTGAAAACCGGGAACAGGGTCTACTCTTTTAACTAAAGAGGGGTTGCTAGTGGGTTTGATAAGTAAGCATGTTTGGAGAATAACTTCTTGCAGCATATTCTTTTGTTTGTTATAAATGAGGAGAGTATCTGATGCATTCGCATAAGACAAAAATAAGCTGGTGGTTTCTTTTAATAATGTCAGCAGCAAAACTAAGGCCAAGGCTGCAACAGAGGGTGGGGTGGGGGGTTGCTCATGACTGAATTGAGATATAGATGCAAGAGGAGAGTTTTTAAGGGAGGCACATTGATGAAAAGATGATACTATCTCCCCAACTGCTTTGTTTAGCTCAGGGCCTAGAAGTATCAGCTTGTTACTTGGTGCAATTGATGTTTGGTGGGATGCCCCAATTGAATGTGTAAAATAGTTAACAATGAATGGAGGGCATGTTGCGGCATGTGTCCTTCTGAGGTTGGGGCTTTCATTCCGGATTTGTCTCCATATGGGCCTACTTGTGTAAGAAAGTCTTGACATGCCCTTAATGACATTGTTGATTGATATCTGTAAAACAGTGCAGTCCTCTTGGTAACATTAAGGTGTAAATTTGACAAGTAAGATGTGGGCATTCTGCAGCATTATGGCTTACAAAGTCAGCTGGGATATTAGCCTTTCCTGAGAGATGGCAAATATTGATTTATGGTTGATAAAAATGATGTCACCCTGGGGCTGGCTGAAAATTGGCCACAGCAAAGTTTTTCATATGTCTAGACACACATGGTTTACAAGAACAGCTGGGTTATGTTGGGATTGAATAAGATAGGGGCTGAAGTGCTTGATAGCCACAGTGATAACCAAAACTTCAACTTCACAATGTAACCATGAAGGTTGATGACTTTGAAGTTTGGCTGAAAAGTGACCACAGAGAAATAATTTATCACCTCTGATGGTGTACATAGCAGCCCCAATACTATTTTGCTTGACTGAATCATCTGTGATGACCCACAATTGGTCAGTAGGATGAGGCATATGGATGGTTTTATTTGTTTTTAGGTGTAATTGTTGATGTTATGCAATGATTCTTTCCCTGCAATGGTGTCAACAAGTGGGGAAAGATAAAGTGAACAGTTAGGGAGCACGTAGCTTAGAACCTCATATGTGCCAATAAAGGAGCATAGTCCCTTGATGGTTTGGGGTCTTTTGCAGGAGCTGAGTGTAACAATTCTATGTAGACTGGCTGTCAAAGCACCATTGGACCAAATTAAACCAAAGACTGATGTTTGCCTTGGGCAGATAAGTTTTACTGACTGATAATCTTAAGTTGGCCTTAGTCAATGTTGAGAGGACGTCAAACATGCTGTGTAAATCTTCTGCAGTGTTTCCTCCTCAATACAAATCATCAGTGAGTTTTGTTACATGGCCTCCAAACAAGAGATTGCCCATTTCTGATCTGGGAATCTAGTGTAAACCTGCATGCCTCTAAGAGAAGTTACAATACCACAATACTTCATAGACTCTTTTGCTAAAGGTATTTGGTAAAATGCTTTAGTGAGGTCAGATTTTATGATGAAAAACCATTGGCTAATCTTGCTGAGAGTTGAGTCTGTCTGGCATAGCAGATGGTTGGGATTTTGAATACTGGCTAACATTAGAGAATTCTGTATCCCTGTAAATTGCCGATGAAGACATCAGTGAATTCTTTCAAGAGATCCTGAAATTTCATTTTCTCTGAGGAGGGTATGTTATCTGGGTCAGTAATTATTCCGGGTGTTGTCCGGCCTATTAGGGCAGGTTTATGTTCATGTATTGTGTCAGAGGGGGTAGGAGTGAATGTGGTAAATTGGTAGCATTGATTAATCTTACTTTGCCTCCAACACTCTGAGTAACGATAGGTTGGAGCCAAGTCTCATCCGGTGAAAATTTGCATGTATCCCAGCATAGTTCTATAGCAAATTCATTGATATAGTTAATTTAACATATCCACTGGGCCATATAGAATGTGAGTTTGTTGGATTTCAACTTTTGAAGGAGATGCTAAGGATCCATAGGTGAGCCAGCTGTCCCCAATCCAAACTTCAGATTTTGATAGACTAGGGGATATATCATTTCTTTGCATAAAGGGGATTCCACCAAGAATCTCCATATCAAGATCTTCTATGACAAGGCCCTCAAATGGCACAAAATAATATCCTTTTCTAAGGTGAAGCAGGTCTTACCAACCATGATTAGAGCAGAGGAACCGTCTGCCTGTCTTGTTGATTGGGATATCTTTACAATCCTTACACTGTAATAGATTATGTGGTCATCAGGGTGTAAAAGGAGTTCTCAATAAAAGAAGATAGATACTGAAATAAATCTTCTGTGCGTTCATCAGGTTCCAGTCTGGTGTAGTCAAAATCTAAGAGTTGGGATCCGCTGCTTTGGAAATCATAATGTTATCGAATTACTTGCCATATGTTGACAAGGAGGTAGCGTTTTTGACCATACTTCTGGAGATTAATGGACAATAATTTGCAATTTGGCCCAGCATCACTTCCACAATATTATTTTTGGGGGATGGCAGAATGCTGGTCTTGTTTTGGTACAGAGATTTTATCCGGGAACATTATAGAAATTGGCCAAAGTTGTTGAGGGAAAGACTATACATGAGATTGTTTCTCCAGAACTCAAAAGAGGAGATGGTCTTGTTCTTTCCCAAGCACCACTGTTTGGGTGCTCTAATAGCTATGAGGAAAGTGTTTGTGAAAAGCGATTTTTATTATGTGTATGATGCTGGTTAAAGAACACAGAATAAAGTTTGTAATGGTAAATAATTGTTGTCCAAATGTTGGGGAATAATACTGTCTTCTTTTAGTATGAAGTAATCCTGGGGGTTGGAACATGGGTGATAAAAAACAGCATTGCTGTCATCACACCAGTTAATAAGGAGAAAGGAAAACACACAACAGAATGGTAAGAATAACAAACATTTAATGAATCCAAAATGGCTGCCAAGATCCTGCCATTAAAGGGCACCCCACAGGAAATAACTCACAGCAGAATGTACAAACAGCACATATCAAGGGAGGCAACTCTAGCCTAACTACATATGGTGTAATACTAATGGCAAAATTCTTTTGAAACACGGTTTTCTCTGCCACAAACTTAAACCTGGAGAATTTCAAATATAAAAGTGGAATGTTTCTTTAGAACTTGATTTCATAATTTCCTTTCTCAGAATGTCATGGTGGTGAAAAATTATGACAGCAGCTTTGGAAATTTTTCTTACTTCAATTACAGTAAAATAATTTGCAATTATGCTCAAATGTGAAAATGCATTGTACAAGATGGCAAAGATACCCATTTTTGTTTTGTACAAAATGCAGAATCACAACAGAAAAAATGTGGAATGTGATTTCTTACATGCAGAACCATCCACATTTTTAAGTTTTTGGTCAATAGACAGTTTTTTAAAATATCAAAATTATAACATAAGTTTTCAATATTTTTATAAATCTTAAACTCATTTGTTTTATTTACAGTTTTCAACATCTTGCCAGTTTTCATAATGTTAAACCAATAGTGTTTTTAACTAAATTATATGGGAAAGATTTTTTTTTTCTAACCCATACTCACAAATTGCTACTCATTAAAAATCTTTAACATAGATAAGCTTTAAAACAAGAAATAAATTTGTCTTTAATTCTTTCTCTTCCTATTGACAATTTTTTCTTTTCTAATCTTCTGTTTCCATTAGTCAAATGAACTTTCTTCCATAATCAAGATTTGATAAGGCTAAAATATCTGTGTCCCTTTTTGTTTTTCTCCTCTTGAAGCATGTGTTTCTTGTTTTGTCTTTTTCAGTCCACAGCTTAAGGGTGGCTATACACCGAGCTCAGTCTACTCCACTGGCACCCAATACCGTAATCAACGCTATCCCACATTTACCAACCGCACAGGACCTCCTCCAGTTGGTGGAGAATATCTTGCTTCCAGTAAATTTGATGGTAGCCATGACAGTGGCTTCAGTTCAAGTAACAACATGACTCAATTGCCTGCTAATCAACGCAGCTCACAATATGAAAATGGTGATGAGGTCAAAACTCCAACCAATCATCAATATGAGAATCTGGAAACTGAATTTGAACACCAAATGAAACTGAATCGGCAGCACACTGATGACACATACTATGGTGAGGAAAATTCAACCAATGTGTATACAGCTCGAGGAGCCAGCATTTCTAACAACATGCAGCATTTGTTGCAACTGACTCCTTCAAAGTATGGTAGCCAAAGAGAATCTGAAGTCGAACATACTGAAGTCCAAGATGGTCTGGTGACACCTTGCAACAGTACAGTGGATGCTGAGCCAGTGTACAGTCACTCTAGCTCCAACTATGAGCCCCTGCTTGTACAATGGGGGGAGACACAAACTACTGAACCTTCTCCAATTATTTACAGCCCACACAAATCTTTTGAGGATTTAGAAAATCGACCAAACACACCAAGCACAGAACATTCCTATAGTCCACGCGTTTATGAATATCAATCTCCAAATAATCAAGAGGTGCAGGTTATCCACTTAACAGGGAATCAACTTGTCAGTGAACAATGTCAAGAGATGGATCAACCACCCACTTCCCCGATTCCCCCACATAGCCGAATAGTTACTACAATCACAAAAATCAAACCTCAGATTGAAGTTTCGAAACCTTTTGAAACCTCAGACTTTTTCAAATACAGTGAGAAGCTTCGTCGTGCTCGCATGCTGGATAGTTATCAGCGCCAATTGATTGGTGACGACCGATTGGTGCATCTGTCAAAACTCGCTCAACAAACGGATTCCTCTGTGAACTCTTACTATAGTAGCTCTTATACTAGTGAGCATTCAAGCTCCTCTTCTCCAGTTTCTTCCTTTTCTCGGATACAGCAAGTAACTCCTTCTTCCCCTTATATGGCTTACCATCATTCCCAAGTCCAACACCACCAATCGTCATCACCCCAACAACAGACGCAACCACAGTCAACACCTTCATCTCCTTTCCCGCAGTATTGGAGGGAATTTGAACAGCATGCTGGGACTACTTTCCCTCTACAGAGAGGCGGAACCCCTGGTGTCTTGGGCAGTGGTAGTGGTATGTCTAGTATGAGTTCACGAACTGTCACTTCTTCATACCATCACTCAGTTAGTAGCAGTAGTAGTAGTAGTAGTAGTAGTCACATACAGTACTCGTCGGCACAAAGTGTGTCACGGGTGTTTCGATCACATCAGGTGCAGACAAGCCGACATACCCAATATCAGCCACCTCAGCCGATGACTTGTGAACCTGTTGCAGTGCGTGATATACCCTCCCCAGGCTCTAATCCTGGCACAGGGTCACCAGCCAATCTGTCAAATCTCTCCAGGTGAGCCAAGGGCAACAAATGCTATGGCAAATGTGCTTGGTCCTGCTCAGCCTGTATTTTCAGACCAAGGAAGAAAAAAAAGAAAAGAAAAAAAAGCTTTTCTTTCACTTTATACTGGACACTGGTCAATTCTTACTGACAACTGTGTGTGTGGCCATTTGCATTTCATTTTTTCCTTTCTCTTGTTTTGTTTTTTCTTTTTTTATGTTCTCTTTAGTTTGTTTTTTATCTGAACATCTTGTTTTTTTTTTCTTCTTCTCATTCATTCATTCATTTGTTTTTCTTTGACTTTTTCTTTATTTTTCTGTTTTCTATGAATTGAAAAACGCTTTGAAAAAAAGCTTTGAAATAAAGACATTAGAGTTCAACTGACTGTGCAATAAAATGATTGAATGATGGACTCTACAATCTCACTGGTGTCCTTTGGAGAAACACCTTTTTCTGTTTGGACATTTGAAAAATGCAACTTTTGATTCATACCAAAATATGAAGGTCAAATATCCTTAATTAAAATGTTGATCTAAAAATATTCCAGTATTCAGCACTTATATATTTGTTGAGCTATCATTTTATATATAACCCATCTACATAAGACCCACCATCACCACCAAAAAAAAACAAAAAAAAAACAACCAAACACCCAGCCATACATGCATCTCATTTTGTTCCCTCTCTGTAAGCTTTTATAAGTGGGGCTTTGGTATCCAGTATTGTATATGTTGATGAATACTTATGGACAAATATGGGTTTTTTACTTTCTTATTTTCACAGGTTGCTGAATTTTTAACTCCTGTAGAATCTTTGGTAGGTTTTTGCAAGCATTACATTCTCTGGAAGATAATGGATAGTCTGGAATTTACAACCATCAATAAGTTTAAAGAGAAACAGATTTTGAAAATAACATTTTTTAAATAATCTGTTCAAGGAAAAAAATATTCAATCAAATCTTTAATGTGTTACATTCAATTCTGACTGCTTTTCATTGGAGTTGATAGTTTATTTTCAAGTTTGCCTCATTTTTTTTGTAACTCTCATAGTATTAGATTATGGAAAATTATTTATTTTGTTGAATTTTCCTTTGAAAACAATTAGGGGTTGCTGCTATAAGAAACACAATCTTGAAATCACACAAGCTTTTTACAATATGCCTTCAAATTTTAATGTAAAGGTATTTTTTTATTATCTCTGTCTTCGTTCTTTTTGTTTTTCTAGTATTTCAGCCGATTCATTCTCTAGACTTCCTTGAATCCAAGATTTGTCACTGAAGATGACCAAAGAATGAATAGGTTGAAGCATTGCTAAAAACTACAAAGGTGTGGATAATAAAAAATGTTTTTGATCCTCAACAAAATTTTGTATCAAAGATTTTTAAAGAAATTTATCTTGCTTCAAAGTCTTCAGGAAAAGAATTTATTCATCCACAGAAGCAGATATAAAAAAAAAAAAACAATTTACTTAGTTTTAATTCAAATATTTCAAATTTCACAGTGAAATTTATATGAAAAAAAATTAAATTTTAAAAGAAATTAGAAAATACAACACTTGCAATAAATTAGTATTTTTTAAAAGCAAATATGTGATCTAGTCAGAAATCGCGTTGAAAGATCTGAGTTGGCAGATAGTGATATTCTTTAAAAATTAGAATCTTTCAGAATTCTGCTTGATACTCCGCAGTTTAATGCTTTGTTGTTAAAGTGAATCATTTTTGTATCCAATTATTCGATAAAGATTTTTCTTCACTCATTTTGGCAACTGAAGAATTCAAATCTGATATAAAAACCAAACTTCATTCTGCTGTTTCCCTCGTATCAATCTGTCAAACCAAAAATATAAGTAAATCTCATTAGCAACTTTTTCCCATGTTTGAATTCAACCTTTATTAATGCTTCATTTTCTCTCGCTGTTGCTGCCATGGAAATGGGCAATTTTATCTCTTGTTGGATACCTCAACATTTTCAGAATTTTTTCTCTATTACACATTTTTAAAAACTGCCTCATGGTCACTGCCTTTGAATTACATTTGAGTTCTCTTATCTAATGACAGGTTTCCATTCATCAGATTTTGCAATAATCTGCCAGTTTTCAACTAATTTTCTCATTGATATTATACATCATTCTAAGCATTTTTTTTTCTATCTGAATCTGGTTTTTCATATATATATATATATATATATATATATATATATATAGTCATCCTTGTCTCTCTTCTTGCTGTGAAACAAGTCCTTTCTTATTTTAGACAATGTAAGTGTTCATCAAGATTTGCAGCACTTGGTAAAAGTCAAGAGAATAAAACAACCAAATTCAGAGGCATTGACTTAACCTCTGCTTTGTTTGTTTGTCATATGCATGCATTTCAACAATCTCATCTCATCTCATTCATTACCAACATTTTGCTTTGCCACCTTTTTTATGATTCTTTTGTTCTGTATTTCTAACAAAATTGATTTGCTTGTTTCTATGCATCCAACATTTACTGTGAGTGTTTAGTGCATGTGAAATGAATTTACTAACACTGCCTACACCCCAACCACTACTGCAAGTTATCCTCTGAACAAGTTTGTTTGAGTGGGAGAGAATGATCACCACTCCTACTCCATCACTCTGCACCTGTTTTTTTTCATTGATGAGTCACAGGACCAAGTGACATTTGCCTTTGCATGTAACAATAACCTGTCCTCAGATATAATTAAAACATTTTTTTCCTCCATTTTTCTATGCATGTTAAAGGCTATATTTTGTTTTATTAGGTTCAATAGCTCTTATTATCTATGCACATTTATTTAAACCAAATTGTTTAATTTTGTATTCTCTTTTTTCTCCTGCTTTCTTTGTTTTTTTTTTTTTTCTGTTTTGTTGTTTACTTTTTTTATTTCAGGCTCCCAAATTTATGCAAAAAATAGCAAAATAAACGAGTTGAAAGTAACTGACATTGTTCAAACTTTAAGGTTACTCCTGGCAAGGAATTCACTTCCAAACCCAAACTCTAGTCTCAGCAGAGAATCACTAAATGGCTTAAACCATGTTTATCTAATTTAATTAAAATCCTTGTATTTCAATGAAATCTCAAAGCTTCTTTGCAAATTAAAACCATGTTTAAAAGTAAGTATTCAATCTGAAATGTTATTAATGAGTAAAATAAAATTTAATGTCACAGATTAAAATCATTTTGAAGAATTCAATGAAGATTTTTGTTAAGCCTGACTTTGCTTTGGCATCTTTTCCAATCTTATACTGAAATTGCTATTTTTAGCTTATCTCCCTAATCTGTATTGAGGCCTTAAAAAGCCAAAGAAAAAATTGGTACAAATACATCCACTTTATACGGAAAATGTATATCATCACAAACAAAAAGAGGAAAATGTCTTTACTTTTCTCAATGTGAAACAACTTAAAAATAATGTTTACTACTTTTATATGAAAAACTGATACATGAAGTTATCCAGGGAACAATGAAAAAGAGTTTACTATCCAGCCCACTACCCCAATATTGTTGCTGCGATGGGAAATAATAGTTTATCAAAACAGGGGAGTGAATACACACACAAGTGTATGATATGGTAGGTTGCTTTTACACTTTTTGGGGTTTTTTTCTTTTGCAAACTAACTTTACATAAAGCAAGATTATTGGGGTTTTATGAAATAGGAATTGGTATTGAATCTTAGATTTTACAGACATTTGCGGAACTGTAAACAAAAATTGCCATCTACTAAAATTTTTGCAATATTTGCTTGAAAAATTATTTCAACAATAAATTCAAAAATTTTTACTATTTATTAAATAAAAACTGTAGTACACTAAAAAGTTCAAATGAATAATTATCAAAATTTTCTGTTAGAGCCATTAGAAACAAAATAAGATCTTATTTGACAATATAAAGTTTTCACAAGATTGTGTTGTGATTCAAGTCCATAAACTATAGAAGTTTCAACTGTTTATTTAACTGCCCTTTCAACACTGAGAATGTGAAACAAACTAATTTTTATCACAGCTTGCTGAAGCTCATGAAAATACTTTAAATGGTGACATGTTCACAAATGCCATGTTGTGATAGATTTAATTCTGGCCCCTGTATAACTTGACAGCTGATTTCCAACATCTGAAAGAATTTAAACATTCAATTTCTATTTTAATTTAAAGATTTCTTCCTATTTGTTTTTATTCTTTTATTTCTCTGAATGTAACTTAAAAAAAAACAATCCCATGAATTCAAATTGATTTAGTTCCTTTTTATATTTATTTACCTAATCCACTACTCTAGATTTCTTCACACTTGCTTCATTTTTGGGGTTATATCAATATAAAATTTGCCAGTTATAGAATTTGCTATTCCTCTTAACCTCAAACTAGTGAACTACATATATTTCAATAATGGACTCGAGTTGGTGAAGTTTATCATGTACTTCTGATTTATATACACATTAATTTAGTTGCCAAAATTAAAAACCTTTCATTATACCGTAATCCAGTTTCCCAGGCAGCAAATCTAGGGTTAACCTTACCTCTGGAAATCCTTTGGACATAACTTGAAAAGGAGTCTCTGGTTGTCATTTAGATCATCCATTGTCCTCACAGTATGCTTCATGCCATCTAGGGGATCATTGACTTTCACAAATTCTTTTGGGGGCAAATCTTAAGTTATTTTATCCAGTTTCTTTAGTGGACCTACCAAAGCAATTGGGCATTTTTTGGGTTGTATCATCAGGCATATTTGTAACTGACTCTGAATAGGAGCTCATTCCTTCATGTTTTCTCTCTATGAGTTGTTACAATGCCTGTCTTTCATCTAGTATTTGTACTTGTATTATCCAAAAGAACAACCTAAAGGATATTCACATCTTCTAATACACTAACAGCTTCAGAATGAATAAGTCACACCTATAATTGGATTTCTCTATGAGTGAGGTATTCTCTACTTTCAGTTCCTATTTCCTAGGGAATTGTTAAATGCTGTTCTTGTCCCTTTCCTGTCTTTAGTCTCCCCCCCCCCCACTATAAA